CCTCTACAAAACAATACACATCTTCTTTTTCCATATAAGCGTTTATTTTGATTTCATTTAATGATTAATCGAATAATTTTTGTAAACTCAAGAAAACCAAAAAAATAGATAAACGAGTGAGAAAATATAAGGAACTGATTCCCACACAGACAAAACTCAAAAAAAGACGGACAGGTACACGTTGAAACTTTGAAATTTTAACGAAAATAAAATCCGGAAAAGCGCACACTTTTACGATTTTCATCTCCGTTAGCTTTCTGTACTGTGACAAACGCGTCGACAATCTGTGCTTCACGCGTTAAAACTCACAAAATAACATGTAAAACCACATTGAATTCCGCGTTTCAACGAGTTACTAAGGAGTAAATTTGAACACAGTAAAACCCTTTTCAAAAAACTGTAGAAACGCGTCACGAATTCGTTGAAAACGCGTTTTTACGTTTCTAGTGCGCAAAAACGACCTATTTACAAATTTTAAAAGCCTTTTTGCCCGTTTTCTTCGGAGATTTTGTCTGTCTGGGTTCCTCTGTATGGTACAGATGAACAAATCACTCTTTTTATTCGGATCTTCCGTCCATCGTGCTTTAGCTTCTTAAAGTTTCTTTTCCAATAACTAAAAGATAGATGACAAACAAGATAGTACAATCCGTTAACCGAGTAGCAGAAGAAAAAGGAGCAAGAAAAGTTAAAACAGTAAAGGGAGTAAAGGGAGTAAAGGGAGTAAAGGGAGTAAAGGGAGTAAAGGGAGTAAAGGGAGTAAAGGAGTAAAAGGCTAAAAAGCGTAATGAACTAGTGTAAAAGTGCTCCATTATAACTTTAATTTCCTATGGACCCCTCCATTTTCCATTATATAATCTTGATTGTATGTTTTGAAGACTCTTTCAATTAACTTCTTGCTTATATTTACAATTTGATGAACTACCGTTTTTTTAAATGATCGGTAAATGTATCAAATTTGTATTGATATTAATGGCCTTGAAAGATACTGTTCGAAGATGTGAGCTGTAGCTCAAATACAAAAATTATACTTTTTTCTCTATCTTCACAAAAATTCCTAAATGATACCTGTCCTTAATCAATTGAATTTTCACTTGATATCAATCGATTCGTCTTTCTGACAATATATCATGAGAAAGGCATATAGAAAAAACACTTCTCAACAATTAAAATGTTCAAAGATCCTCATTGCTCAATAACTCATTGCAATTAAAACAGAAATATTGCATTATATTTTCTTTTAAAGTTTGAAGGAGATTTTTGTATTTCGCTTATAGTTCACATATTTGAACAGTGATTTCAGCGTTTTTCATATCGATAAACACTTATTGTATTTACCTATCATTTGAGAAAAAGATAATTTATGAAGTTAGGTCAAAGTGCAAAAATATACAAAAAGTTAAGTGGAAGACATTTTTGGAATATTCGATATTTTTATTCTTAACTCTTACATCTGACCTTAATGACAGACTTCTATTTTCAGTTCATTAATTCTATTTGTAATCGCTGAATTCTTTTTTCGATTGCTTAATTCTACCTTTATTCCGATCCTTATCTAATAATCATATATCCTATTCGTTTTTTTATCTAATCTATATTTTAATATTTAACCCCTATATTTATATCTAAAGTTCACTAATTTGAACGCGACGAACAGCAAGTGACAGGAAAAGACAGATATTTTAATAGCTAACGTTTTTCCAGCTAAGAAATATTCTATCTAGTCAAAAGAACAAGCAAAACTTTAGTTTAATTTGCTCAAAAAATCAGCGTTCTAAAAACAGTAGCAAGATATGGCCGTAATAATTTATGAAATTCAAAGAGAAACAGATATCAGCCATCAGAATATTTCTATTTAAACAATCTGCGTATCTCAAGATTTTAGTGAACAAATCCTATTGCCAATATAGTCGATATTTTTCATATTACTCTCAAATTTCAGTATGTCTAGCAAAATACGAAATGTAAATCTACTAATGAAATATACAAACACGATAGAAAGATGAAAGATAGAAAGATAAAATCGATGATTCAGATTAGTTGTGTCTTAAATCAATGAACAACGGTCTTCATTATAAAAAGTCGAAACAAAAATAATTTAATAGAGAACTTCCTATGTAAAATACTTCAGGAATATTTGCTGTGAGACTTTTTCTATTATGAAATTTAGAGATTTTCAGTTGAGACTAATAAAATTACGTAGCATTTAACGAGGTGACCTGTATTTGAACGTCGTTGCAAGCATATCATAACTGTGGCCAGTGTTGAGAGAATCGTTTTGATCCATGTTATTTCGAATTTAACACATTTAGTCTATGCTTAAACTACTTTAAAAGAAGGAAACCATAGAGAAAATGGTGCAGTATAAAACCGTTTTAAACTATTACAATTATTTTCTATCAATCATAATTCTTTATGAACAGAATATGAGTGCGAGATAGAACTCTTATAAATCTCTAAAATCAGTTTAAGCTACTGATGGTCCTATAATAAAAGCGATAGTGCGATGTAGAACCATTTCTAATCGCTAGAACTATTTTAATTTAGCGATTGCACCTCACAGAAAGAATTAATTCAGTATAAAACTCTTTTTAAATCTTTGGAACCATTTTTCATCAGTCAGCGTTCTCCAAAAAACTAAAAGTACGAGACAGAACCATTTTAAATTTTTTTGAACCATTTTCTATCATGCATGCTTCTTAGTTTTGTAAAAAATGCTGCAAAATAGAACCCTTCTGACTATTTGGAACTATTTTTCATGCATCATAGTTCTATATCTAAAGAAATGGTATAAGCTATAACAATTCTTAACCTCTGGAACCATTTTGGTATAAGACACGGTTCTTAAAACTGTCTAGAGCCCTCTGATAGTTTTTTAGTAAACAGCTGAAACCTCAAAAGGTAGTGAATCTTCGCTAAAACCTCTAATATTTCCCTATGACGCCAGTTTTTTTCACAGAGTAGGTAGTAGGGATGGGACCGTTCACAGTTCCAAGTCCAGATGAACTGGGCAAAAGAACTGAACTGTATCAACAGTTCTATCAGAGGAATTGGTGTGTTTCAAATCTGTTTTTATTACTGAAAAAGCCGTTTTCAGGCAGTTCAGTTCTATTTAAAGAACTGTTGGCACAGCTCAGTTCTTTTCAGAGAACTGTTAGAACAGTTCAGTACCTGTCAAAAGAACCATTATAGAGTCCCTAAGATGAGAACTAATATGGAACTGTCTAACCTTTTGTAGGGAGGGGCGTTGTTACCCGGTAAGGAGGAAAGAATGATAGTTATCATCGTCTATACGCTTCAGAAAGTACTACGCAGAGTGCAAAACGTTTTATTACTTAGATTTATTGATTTTGGTAGGTTGAGCTTTCGAAGAATCTCTTCACGATGTTCTTTCCCGGTACACATACTATAATTCCAGTTTGCACGCCATTCAAGAATTTTAACAGGTATTTTTTGACGTTGAAACATTTTCCTTAACAGTTCATGCCGTTCAGTCAAATGCATCGCCGTTACGACATAAATATGGGATACATAGGCGAGCCCCGAAGGTGTCTTGGGCGATTCGTGGACGGGAAAAGTGTAGTTACTGTTGGGTGGGCGCCAAAAGATTGATTGGTTTTTACTCTTACTGTCAATTTCCGAAGGTAACGGAAAAGTGAGCCATTGAGCACCGGGGCCTTTCTGCCCCAGTTCTTGAATAGAGTAATAATCATACGCCATGTTCTTAAGATGATAAACTCTGTTTCGTGGAAAGTTAAGACTTGTCAAAATGCTGATACTTTCTGAGTCCGTTTTCACATCTATATCGTTAAGTAGAAAATTCCAAACTCCAGTACTTTTTACAAAATGAAAATTTAACACTAAATTGGTGTTTTAAATGAGTTGTATTAGTTTAAAAGATTTTTAACTTACCATATACTAAGAACAGCAAAAATATTAAAAAACTTAAGATAAAAGCAGACAACCGAAGGCACTTTGTAGTCATAATGAATCTTTGAATAAATCCTATTGAATTAAAAAGAAACGATCCAGATTTCATTCATTATAGTCTCCTTCTATTTCGATGATATTTCACTCCACTACTCGTGATAAAATAATGACCTTCGATATATCCAGGGACCGTCAAAGTCGAGGAGGAGGGAGTGTACACCTCCACGCCCTCAATAAATACAAGTTCTGAAATTTTTGTTAAGAAAATGGAAAACAATATAAGTTGATTTTTTAATCTAATCCATATAGAGTGGTTTCGGTTGTGAAAGATGTTATCAAGTTTATGTTCATCTTTCAAATATATATCAACTGAAAATACATATGCTCCAATTCCAAGTCAAGTCACATCTAGTTCTGAAAATAACTGGAACTGATTAGACTTGCAATTAAAATTGACTAGAACTGACATTGAACTTATTTTGTTTATAATGCTTTGTCTCAAATCAGCTGGATGTAGCTTGCAACTAACTACAATGGTTTGAAATCGTATCTAATTGTCGAGGGTGTAGAAGTGGCTGTGCTGAACACAGCAACTTCACTGACACTGTCATCCTTACGCACACTCAGTCTCATATTTTTGTGTACCCCCCCCCTCGGCAGAGACAATATAGGTGAAAGAGAAGCGAAGAAGAAATGTTAGATCATAATTCTAAAGATACTACAAATCAAACAAAATAGAGAGAGACGAAAGCCGGTCTCTACATGGGATGGGGTATCACATGGGATATATGATTGCTTTTTTTAAGAAATATATTATTCTGCGTACAGATCGCATTTGACAATCGATAGACATAAGTAATAACGGGTGCGCCAGGTGAAATGAGCCTCTCATTATTTTGACTATAATTTTTGTTTGTTTTCATCCTTACGTCTGATTTTTTTCCGAAAAGATGCGCCGTGAAATTCTCTACAATCCTGTCTATTTCAAAAGGTCTGATTGAGATTCATTAGTTTATTATCAAAAATGAAACAAATTGGTCTAAAAGTTACAACTTTCTAAGAAGAAATTTTTAATGGGTACAGTTTTGTGGCAAGTCAGCCAAAAAAACGCAACATATTTAAAAACATTTCTCTCATATCAGCCTTTGTAGAGCTTTTTTCGCTGATTATTTTGGTAAAAAGACTTTTGAATTTTTATTGAGAAATGACGATATTATAGTCAAAATACTAAATATTGTGAACTGGCTTGAAATGCAGTTTCTTTTCCTAACAATTGGACATAAAAAGTCGATTGGCATATTTAAGAATAGAAATATATGACATATCAGGCTTTGTAGAGAAAAGTTTGCTCTACAAAATCCTATGTTCTGTTTCTCCGATACATTCGAACACTATAAACACGTCTCCATAGAACATTCTAGAGAGTATTTATCACAAAAAAAGAGAATGTTAAATTTTTTTCATATGAATATTGTATACAGTGTTCTATTGAGATTTATTCATAGTGTTCGATGGTATCTAAGAAACCAGTCATTGGGTTTTGTAGAGCAAACTTTCCTCTACAAAACCTACTATGTCATATATCGCTGAAAACATAACTAATTTGAAATTCTCCAGTCCTACTAAAAATTTCTTCTTGGAAAGTTGTAACTTTTAGACCAATTTGTTTCATTTTTGATAATAAACTAATGAATCTCAATCAGACCTTTCGAAATAGACAGGATTGTAGAGAATTTTACGGCGCATCTTTTGGGGAAAAAATCAGACGTAAGGATGAAAACAAACAAAAATTATAGTCAAAATAGTGAGAGGCTCATTTCACCTGGCGCACCCGTTGTTATATTGATATATTGTTAATATGATAGAAAATTATGATAAGTATTTATTATAGCACCTGCCCAACATCTTCTTAATGAAGCTGTTGGTGGTATGGATCAACAAATTGTGCCGTTCGTTTCAGCGACACCTAATCTCGTTCGGCACAATACAAAATGGCAAGAACAATTAAAGAGTGAGAAAGAAAGAGTTAGACGAAGTTTAATTACGGGCAAATACGACAAAACGGATGATACATTAGATTATGATAGTATACAGGATGCACTTGTAACTATGGTCAATTCAAAGAATTGTAACATAAATACACTTGATAATTACACTCAAGTTCTTCCAGTTGCGTCAGTGACTACCACAAGCCATTCTACTCAACAAAGTATTATTGTTGAATATGCATTGAATAGAGAACAACGAGCTGCATTTCTGATAATAACCAATCATCTTGATGGTGACAAGGAACGTCATATAGGTATTTTAATGATCTATACGTATAATAATAAATCAAAACAATATATATATATATATATATATATCGGTACCAACAATGATGAGCTGATAATGTGAATACCTGGATGCGGCGGCACCGGTAAATCACAACTGATTCGTGCTGTCACCAAATACTTTCTTATTACAAAAAGAATGCACATGATGCGAAAACTCGCACCCACCGGAATCGCTGCTGCTGAAATTGGCGGCATGACAATTCATTCATTTTTAGGTGAACAACGTAATTCAGGGAAGCTGCGTACCATCAAACCAGGTGATACAAAACTTGAAAACCAATGGAGACTGGTTGAGTACCTTCTAATTGATGAGATGAGTATGGTTGGTTTAACTCTACTTGCAAAACTCAATCGAATTCTTTCCGCTACCAAACATGCCGATCCTCAAATTCCATTTGGTGGCATAAACGTCATATTTTTTGGTGATTATTTACAGTATCGACCAGTATATGATACACCGTTGTACACTGACTTTTCACAGCCCACTAAAAACAAATCAGGTCAATCACGTAGTGAAAAAGAAATTCAACAACGCGCTGCACGTTCCCTGATACTTCAAATCAACTGTGTAATCAAACTTAGTCAACAGATGCGAACAGAAGATGAACGATACCGTGAATTACTCGAACGGCTTCGTCAAGGTGACTGTAATTTGCAAGATTATGAATTATTGTTAACACGCGTCGTTGGTCAGCCATCGGTCAGTTCTCTTCGCGAATCACCATGGAACGAAGTAAATTCTTTTTTCTTTTTAAAATACTTTTTCATCGTTTTGATGTTTAGGCTCCCATTTTGGCATATCGAAATGAAGTACGAACACAATTAAATAACAAAGCAGCAGTTCATAATGCAGCACAACTAGGTCACCAGCTAATGGTATGTGTCGCTCAAGATACCTGCAGAGGCAAAGCAATTGAAGATCCTATACTTATGAAAAAATTATTGGAATTATCTGACAGCAAGACGGAACACTTACCCGGTTTGTTGCCATTTGTTCCTGAGATGCCAGTTATTTTAACGCAAAATCTTGCTATTGAACTGGGTCTTATTAACGGCATAAATGGAATATTTCGACAACTAGTCTACGAGGCTGATTCTGTATCAATAGATGCTCTATCAAACACATATCCGAACAACACACAATACGTGCATCGACCTTTATATGCATTAATTGAAATTGCAAGATCGAAAATTGAATGTAATCTTGAAACACTTCAACCAAAAATCGTCCCAGTACCGCTAATGGAACAAACGTTTCGTGTTGACGTTACTAACATTCTTCCAAAAAAGAAGAAGCCAGAATCGAACCAGAAGGCAATGTTGTCGATTAAAAGACGTGCACTACCAGTTGTACCTGCTTGTTGTATCATAACACATAAGAGTCAAGGTCAAACTTTGAGTAAAGCCGTGATTGACCTTAAACTGCCGAATGAAACTGAAGATATTGCCGCTGTTTATGTACTGCTATCACGTTTAAAACAGTTGATTGATGTAGCTATTTTACGGCCTTTCGATTACGAAGTTCTCCGAATCAAGCCAAGTAAATCGCAAGTTGCTGAAATTGAAAGACTTGATAAATTGTATATTGATACCCAATTTCGATTTTCTGAGTATTTTCAATAATTTTTCTTTACTTTATAAAAATGCATGTTAGTTGCGGTCGTATGAAGTCATCTCATCGACTTATCCCAAGGATTGAGGCTCACTTCAGCTAGAAAAAAAAAATAATCTAAATCATTAATATATTCCAAGATAATGTATACGCAAACTAAAATGAAGTATCTAATTTACCTGAGAGTACCTTTAGTAACTTTTTACCAGCTACCTGAGGGTACCCTTAGTAACTTTTTACTAGCTACCTGGATGTACCCTTGGTAACTTAGACTTCTTGCCTGATTCTGATCATATCAAAAAAAAGCCATTTCTAGATTATTACTACCTGTTTCATATCGTTTTATTATAAGCGTTTCACACCATGTACAAAAAAATATAAAAGAACAAAAAAATACTTAAAATGTCACATTCATGAAGTAGTTGTAGTTTTTAACATAAAAAAAATAAAAATAAATTCTTCTTTTATTTGTTTTCTTAAAATTTTTCCGATACGAAGAGGATTATCAAACACTAGTTTATTAAATAAATCGATATTTTTTTCGTCTATTATGTGTAATACTTTTATCGGTCGTGAAAAATCTAGAAAATAAAATAAAATATAAAGATATAAATTAAAAAAATATCAAAATACGTTTAATAAGGATTGCTTTCAGGAAGCAATGAGAAAATGGATATCATATATTCGATTATTTTCTTGATATGAAATAAACTTTTGCTATACTTCCAATTAAAACAATAACGTACTAGATGTCGTTTAAATTAAATAAATCCTTTAGAGAAAGAAAATAATCTAAGTGAATTTATACTATACTTATCGAGTGAATAATGATTATGAATAAATGATATTCAGATAACGATTTTATATATGTGATAAACAAAGGTCACATCAAGTGCCGTTCATCTTGGAAAGCTGACAAGAATCTTGTCTAAATAGGAAGAAATTGACCAACAAATATAAATATTATTACCTGACGTTGATGAAAAACTAGTATTTTACCACTTGTATCGAAGTGATCACATAATTTATTATATGATAAAGAAATTCGGTCGGAATAAGTATCACCAGTATATTGAAAATATGTATTGGCTTCTTTCTTAACAACAACAATATTGTCACTATAACGGCTAATTATTAACACAGCAGTTGCTGGATAATAATATTGTACATTTTCAATATCATTTAATTCGAGATAAGAATCGAAAACTTTTTGCACTTGAGCAGATGGTTTAACAAATGTCTAAAAAGAAATAAAAAAATTTTTATCATCAAATAAAATTTTAATAAATATTTTAAACAAAATATAGAATATGAAAAATGAATTATTTCTAAAATTCATGCTATAATATAGATATATACAAAAGAGAGAACAATAGATCAGATATATTATTGATATATTTGAACATATATAAATAATAATAGCAAGTACTGGCTGAAATGTATTCTTCAAAATATGCGAATTCAAGTCCTACGAATAAGCATAACATTAAATGACCTATAG